TATATATATTTATATTTTATATAATATATACATGCATGTGTGTTTTAGAGTGAACTATAAAAGTTTGCGCGTGCGTTTTTAATTAATATTCACAAAAGAAATTTTACACAATAACATTATGCAAAGTAAAGTTTCAACACAATATACAAACAAACTTTTGGTTATATATATATGTATATGCATTTTTATAAGAGGTTTTTTTTTAAATTTTTATTTCACTTTATATATATATATATATATATATTTATGAATCGAGAAGAGAATATTATGGGATGGAATGAAGGAAGGAATAAACGTTCAGACGAAAGGCCCTTAGGAAGTATCTTGACTTCTCTAGAAATCTGACAAAGAATCTTATGAATAGGCCGGATATACGTTAGAATCTATCCTTTTTTTTTGACCTGTCCCTTTTTTCCCGTTCTACTTTTTAAACTAAAAGTTACTTTTCGAGATCCGTTTTTCTTCCTACCCGTCGTCTTATGTGTTAACTTTACAATCTAACACGTGAGAACTGCCATCGCGCATATTTTCATTCGTTTTTCTTCCTTTCCTTTTCCTTTCTCTCTTTATTTCTTTTCTTTCTCTTCTTTATTATTATTATTATTATTTTCATTTTCTTTTTGTCCTGACGTACGATAAAAATCTAACAAATATCGATCTTTGCTGTTAATGTCGGCACGCTATTAACCTACTTTTCCGATATCGATAGACCTCGATCTAATAAAAAAAAACGACAGGTAAAATTAAATAAAAGGATAAAAGAACACACAGTAAGAGAAAGAGAGAGAGAGAAATAATAAAAGGTGGAACAAAAGGAGAGAAAGACAGAAAGAAAGAGAGAGAGAGAGAGAGAGAGAGAGAGAGAGAGAGAGAGAGGAAAAAAAAGATACGAAATGACACGGTAAAAGCACCACTAATGTTCTTCCGCATTAACACTCGAGCTAAAGTATACTTGTACGTGTAAAAAGATCTTTCTCTCTTTCTCTCTCACTCTCTCTTTCTCCCTCTGATCGATAAAGCCACCCGATTGGTTACCTAGCTCCTAGCATTAGGAAATCGAGGCCCTGAAAAGCATCGACCTACCCTTCCAGGGATGAACCTTTCTATTGGCTACTACATTGCTCCACCCCCTTTTTACCAAGTAACCCTGGTAACATCACTCGTACTATTACCCTAGAATTACACAACGCACACTCAATATTTCTTTTTCATATATCTTTTTGTTTATTCGTTTTTCGTTTCTTTTTTGTTTCTTTTTCTATGGAATTAATATCCAACATATTATTATCCTTACAATAATACACACAAGTGATCCGTAAGAAAATGATTTTTAATTATTTTTTTTTCTATCTTTTTAAATGATTATTATTTTTTAATATTAAATAATTATAAAAGGATCAAATAAATTTTTTTAAAAATAAGAAAATAAAAAAATAAATAAAAAAGGATTAATTAAATAAGTCCTCCCCCCCTCTCCCTGCTTAAAAATATTTTACGATATTCGATGTCTCGAAGAGTCTAAAATTTTATGAATTATTCACAATAAATTTATTGTTCTCTTAAACAAAAACAAAAAAAAAAAAAAGAAAAAGGAGAGAAAATTAAATTAAAAAATAGAGAAAGTGGTAGGATATATGTATATAGGATAAATTTTGTAGATTCAGGGGGAGGGTGTGGGTGGAAGCAATGGATTCGTTGGCCAAGGAAAACTAGAGGGATGAGTTTATGAAATCTCCGCCCCTTTTGGTAGAACCGCCCCTAGATTCGAGGGTGCTTCAGTGAACGAAACGGAACGGAGGTAGGGACGACACTAGTGGTTAAGTGTTCGTCGAGTACACTTCAAAACGAACAAGAAGAGTCCTTCACCTTTTGCGAAAAGGGACTCGAGAAACGACGAGAGCTACTTAAAAGTAGACCGAAATATACTTTACGGATGAATACAATTTGCGAGCCGACTCGGATCGGGTTCACGTTTGTTTCCGTGTGTTCTCTGGTCTCCTTTTTATTTTATTTTATTTTTTTTATTTTTCCATTCCTATGTGTGTTATTTCTGTGCGTGAAACAATAATAATAATAATAATTAATCTGTGCTGGTAATTTATTACTATTATTTTTTTTTCACTTAATCGTTTAAACGTTTTTTGTGATTCGTTAATATCGATTTGACAATTTGAAAAAGAAGAAAAGAAATAAAGGAATGAATATTTAAAAAAAAGAAAAAAAATAAATTGTGGAATCATTGTGCATCCAAATGTTGAGAGTTTTGTTGATAAGTTTATTAATTAAAAGTGTTCAAGATTTTTAATTTGTTCTTAAAATCACATTGGAAAAAGAAGGATTTAGAAAAATAAAGAAAAAGTGATTTATTCAAACGTGTTCGGATATTTGTAGAATATTAGGGGTAGAAAAAGTGTTTAAAGATTTAATCCTCAGAGAAGTCAGATTAGAGAGTATTTGGGATACTTTCTTAGTCTATTTGATCTGCGAAAAGAAAAATAGAGAGATAAAAGTAAAAGAGGATTAAAGTTGAAAAAGGTTTTGGGGTCCACAAGAGTTGGAATAAAGAATGGGAAGTTATTAAAGACTGTAATAATCCTTAATTCTAACTTACAAAATGGCGGAGAAGAATAAAATTCTACCCTGGTCACTTTTACCTTATCCAGCGAGTCTACTAAATCACGTTTGGTACAGTCAACTAGCGTTTAATACCAGGTAAACTTAATTAAATAGAAAAATATTTGTCGCATGACTTTTTTATTGTTTTTTGTTTTTGACTAACCCCTTTTACGTTTCCTTATTTTTTTTTTTCAATATTTTGTACAACACGCTAGCGTTTTATTTCTTAAGTACGTTATAAAAATAAAATCTTTACATAATCGATTAAATTTCTCGATAACCCGACGAATTGTTACACGTGTCTCTCTGACCAAGTTCTCATATCGTTTATTTTCTTTTTATCAAATCAAGTATCCGGTTTTGTGTTATCGATACCGTTTTTTCGATCATCACGATTTACTTAGTATAGATCCGATTAAAATCCGTAAATCGATAAAAATTTTATTGTATTTATTTAAGGGAAAATAAAAAAAAAAAAATAAAGAAAAAAAAAAATAAATTGATTTAAAGATTTTGTCAAGAATATTTTAAATGAAATTTCTTCTGTGGCAATATACCTGGTTTCTATTTATTTTACCGTATACGATATACATCACAATTGAAAGATTAAATAATAAATATTATTATTTAAAATTTGTGTTATATTAAACAACACAACACAACAGAAATATATATATATATATATTCTTTTAAGATATAAAATGAATAAAATTGAAGCGTTCAAACAAGTATATTCGGTAATTTATAAGAGAGATTTGAATGACCGAATAAGAAAAGATCATTCATTCCGACCGATTCGATTGGCATTCGATCTCATAAAAAAACACCATTTTTATGTCTAAACAGTCAGAAAAAAATAATAATTCATGCTTACGAACGTGCTCCAATAATAGTCAGTTAGGTTTAAGAAAGAATCGACAAGAAAATATTTTTCAAACCCAAAAGTAGAATTCACTTTTATGTATGATATTATTGAATAGAATTGGATTTTTCTATTAATACTAAAAACGGTTTGATTAACATGACAAATCATCGCGTAACCATTTAATTTTGAAAATGTAAATGATATATTAAATCCGACATGGAATTTCCTTGATCTACCGCGGTATACTTTTTTAACCCGTTTTTTTTTTTTTTTTAAGTACTCAAGTATCTACAGAAAATAAAAGATAAAAAACATTATCTTGAATTTTGTTGTTTTACGCGACACAAAAAATAATAAAAAAATAAATAATTATTACAAATGTAATATTAGCGTAATGAGTATAGATACTATTATAATTTATAATTATAGTTTGCAAATTTTCTTTTTTTTTAGAATATTAGAAAGTATGAAAATGCCAGCTAGAACTTCGGGTTTTCACATAAGTGACATATTAGAGTTGAACGATGCTAAACCATCTTCAGAAGAGAACGATGTACAAGGTAATCAAACAAATCTTATCTATGATTATCCTAATATTTAATTTTAACGAAAAAATTAATACGATGTCCAATAGAAAAAAGACAAAATTCAACGTTACAGACAAAGTATAATATATCGAACGTTAAATATTAAACTCTATAAAGGAGAGAAAAAAAATTACTAATAAATATTAAACAAATCTCGATTTTTAATTCTAAAACGATCTAGACGATTTGCAATGTACAAAAATTTGAACGAAAAAACAAAAAAAAAAAACAAAAAATGTTTCCAGGAAGTACAACGGTTCTACCGACGGCCAACGAAGTTCCATTGGCGTATCAACAATTTTTAGAACACACGACGGCCATGTTACAACCGATGCATGTGAATCTAAATAGGGGTAGTTTGCCACCACCACCTCCGGGATTGCTTAGCTGGCCAAGTGGACCAACAACGGCTTTACCAACTACACTACCACAGCCATTAGAAGAAGTAAACAGTAAGAAAGAGATCTATGTTAAAGAAATATTCGTACGAATTAGATAGTTGAAGGAAAAAAACAAAACGAAAAAAATGAAAGAAACAAAATAAAAAGGAACTTGAATTTCCATTCGTTTCGCAAGGGTAGTTAACAGTAGTAAAATCAGCCAGTAGGGTTTGTTGCTTTGCTTTAACCTTAGCTTGTACGTCCCACTGTTTTGTGTATTCCCTGATAGCTAAGGGAAAAAAAAAGAAATAGGGGTTGTCGAATATTCGCAGGCGGGACGTGAAACCGTATTTATTTAGAAGCCTACAATTGGTCCGCTCGAGCTAAGCAGGATCTAATGGTCCTATAAAAGGTCCTTGTGGCTGCTGTATCAGGATTGGCGAGCAAACCAGGACAGATGTCTTTTGAGAAGGACAGATGCGTTCAGGAGCCCCTCGATGAATCCAAATTGTCACGCCCAAAATGTACTACTAACTTTGCCCCTATTACTTTGCCCCTCCTGTCTTCTATTTCTCTTTCTATCTTTCTCTTACCTTCCTTAGATTTTATTTATTTTCTCTCTCTTTCTCTTTCTCACTCACTCACTCACTCATTCACTCATTTTCTATCTTTCTCTATTCGACAACTATCTATCTTCTTGTACTCTCTTTTCATCAGGGGAATATAATTTGACCGTACCTTACACGACCCAAAAATTGCGCCGTTCAAGATATTAGGGATCTCTTTTTTCAATACACTCGATCGCATCGATCATCTTCCTTCCGAAGGGGTGGAGGGGAAAAGAAAAAAGAAATAATAAAACACAAATTCGTTTCGATTAGAATGAAAAGGATTCTTCCCCTCCCCTCCCTAATTGTCGTTCTTTCTAAGTTATTAGAAATTAATAAATTATTCGAAAGAGATCTGATTCAATTCTAACGACGTTAAGAAAAAGATTGGGAAAAAAAAGAAAAAGAAAAGTAAAAAAAGATTGAGAAAATGTTCCTAATGACAAGTCTCCCCCCCCCTTTAGGTACGCGACACTTTAATTGAAATTACAGAGAAGGTTGTATCAGAAGTAGAAGCTAATCTCCCATGAAAATGATATGGTTAATCCCATAGGGGATGTTTCGGAGTGTTTCGGTATCAAATAGGCTTTATATTAGTTCGCACCCTCTCCCTATAGGACCAAAGGGAAACCTTCCACAAAAGCATATTGTACAATCGCGAAAGAAAGCCACGATACTTTGGTTTCTACATTGAATTAGTTAGTCTTATGGTGTGACCCTATCGGTTGCCTATCACCCTCCTCACGATACAAAACCATAAAACAAATAGTAACTATTCTCACACGAACAAGAAGACATTCTTCACTCCTTCCCTATTTTTTTTTCTTCTTCATTCTTAAATATTTTTCTAACGAGAAAAAGAGATGAAGAAAATCGAATCAAATCAGTTAAAAAGGGGAAAAGTGTTAGCTACGAGTCTCGTAAAACAAAACTGTTTTGAAGAAAAAGAAGAAGAAGAAGAAGAAKAATAATAATAATAATAATAAAAGAAAAATCAATGTGCTCTTCTGCATCTGCTGCCAATCATCGTTAAGAGCTTTCGTGCTAGCACGAAATGCAGCTGCACTTATTTTACACCTTTCATTATCTCGAGTTTTAGCATCGATGAGCGTGCATGCATGCATACGTGTGGTGATGGTGGGGGTGGGGAAAGGGGGCAGGGTATGTGCAACGAAAAAGATTCGTTATTAGATGCTAATTAAATCAATTATTCGTTTGTTAAATACCGTAGAGATAATTTTTACATTCTAAAAAGCTCGAATTAAAAATATAAAAGAAAAATAAAAATACACAGTAAGTAAAGGAATTTTGTTGTTGTATTTATAGTTCTCCAACAACCAGATTCTACGAGTCCGGCGATATCGGAATTGTCATTTCCGTCGCAACAAGAGAACAGTCACGAATCTAAGGACGAGGAATCGCAGGATTTCGAAGAGGAACATCAAAACGGTGAAACACCGAGCCACGAGGCGGAACATAAGAAAAGGAAAAGACGCGTATTATTTTCAAAAGCACAAACGTTCGAATTGGAAAGAAGATTTCGTCAACAGAGATATCTTAGTGCACCGGAAAGGGAACACCTAGCGTCGATAATAAGATTGACACCGACCCAAGTTAAAATTTGGTTTCAAAATCATAGGTACAAGACGAAACGTGCTGCTACGGAAAGAGTAGAAGCCGGTGGTAGTGGTTGTTCGCCTAGAAGAGTGGCAGTTCCGGTTTTGGTCAGGGATGGTAAACCATGTCAATCGAAATTAATGGAACAAGCGAATTATCCTGGAAATGGTCAAGTACCTATGGCTCCTTACGTGCCAAAAACATTTTGGTGGTAAACATTTTTTCTATCCATATAAAATAATGATAATTGATTCATTATTATATTAAATGGACATTGAACAATTGAAATCTAATTCTCACGTCAGAATTAGGATCTAGTCAGGGGATTTAAATGTGTTAACCAAGAATAATAGAAAAATACAAATAAAAAAGAGATGATTAGAGAGAGAGAGAGAGAGAGAAAGAAAGATCCTGACTAAACAATCAATTAACAACAACATTCGTTTGTTTGTTTGTCGTTCATCTCATAAAAAGAAAAAAAACAGAAATATTAAACCAAAGAGAATGTTTTAATATAATTAAAATATGTTCGTCTCGTATTTAAGAAAAGGATTTATAGCGAGCATATGATCTTTACGTAGAGCGAATGGTAAATAAAATTGAAAAATGAGAATAAAGAAAAAGAAGAAAAAAAAAACAAAAGAAAAAAAGGATGATAATAGTAAAATAAGTAACCTTGTAAATTTCTATCCTCGTATAGATGAATGTGTAATGACTCTTATTATCTTCGATATGTAGGATGTAGTGTGATAAGTAATTACGTACGAATGAAAGTTCAACGTCGATTTGCCGTTCGTTTTGTCTACTAGAAATGGAACAATGAATGATAAATTGGATTATATATATATATAATTCAATTAAAATGATCGAAATCTCTTCGAAAGATCAATATCCTTGTGATCCGTCGTTTCTACCATTTTTAATTGTTAATTATTGTTAAAAAAAAAAAGGAAAGGTCAAACAGAAATTTACGATAAGGATCGTAGAAGCAGATTATCCTTGATTAGTATAATAGATAATTGTTTTCGATATATAGATTCTGTATATATGTACATTCTGTATAATAAATAATATACACTAATATATATATATGTATATATATATNCTTTCATATTAAAGAAAAAGAAAAAGTAAGGTATTAAAAAAAAAAAACGTGACAAGAAACACGTTTCTCTTTTGCGCGAACACCCTTAAAAAAGAAGAACGAACCGTAAAATACTTTATTCTTTCTCTTTCAATTGGAACGGACCGGACCGGACTCGCAATAAGACGCACATAATTTTTGAGAATTCTTTTACGTAATACTCTCGTACTGTCGTAACCGGCATTCGTGCGTAAGTAAGTAAAGCATACTTATGTTCGTTCATGCACAAGTAAACTATTATACAAACTCCATGCCGATCGAGTTCGTAAAGACTGAAATGGGAGGTATTTGCAAGCTACCACTTCCATTACCACCGCTATCATGACACATTTATGATAGCAATTGATTCTTTTTGTTTCTTATTTTGAGCAGATTAGACTTTCGAAAATCATTCCATAAAAATTATTTTCTATCAATTATTCACAAGTTCATTTTTTAATTTCATTTTGTAATGAATTTTTGTTCATAAGATGTTGCAGTTAGTGTCAGGGAAAGTCGATGGAAAGGTCGAATATATATATATATATATATACATATACATGCATATATGAGAAACATATTTAATAAATTCTAATCCCAAGAAAAAAAGTAATACATCTAATATTATTCCTATGATATAATATATTAAATTCAATGTCCGACAGTTTATTGGACGAGGAAAATCTCCATCGAGCCCTTTTTAAAGGGCTGCTGCTGGTTCTTTTCTTCTCTACTCCTTCTCTTTCCTTTCCCTCTTTTCGATCCACGTCGGAAGCCAACGTAGCTTGAGTGACAAGTTTCCGGTTTCCGTTTCCCCGCGGCCATCTTGTTACCGGTTTAGATTTCCTGAAGGCACCCCCTATCGTGCTTTGCTAAGGGTCACTAGCCTTTTAAGACGGCATCTCTTACCAACAATTGTATCTCTATCGAGCATTTATTTAAATCCTTATTTATTTAGTTTCCTTTAGGGAAAAATCGTCTCCATCTTTTATTACTTCTACGTCAATGGAGAAGAAATTTTGTCAGATAAATTACGAGGATGATTAATTATTTTCATAAACATTTTCAAATGATGTCTCGAAAAATTGTATTTCATTCAAAATTAATTAACTACTTTTTAATACCATCCACGTATTTCCAATAATATTCCTACGTATATATTAACTTTGTAAAAATCATCTTTTAATAATATAATATTTCAAAACAAAAACAAAAAAATAATTCTAATATAAATTTGAAAAATATAACAAACTAATTTTGTCCATACATTTGTTTCAATCCTTATAATATCACATATTATTTGAATTTAATTAATAGAAATTTCTCAAATTTGCGCAATATAAAATAATTAGCATTAAAATATTTGATATAATATTTATTTTCGTGTTTTGAGAGAAATAGGAGAAGGAAGGTAGGGGGTGATTGTGAGGGAATAAAAAAGTATTGAATCGAGAATATTAAAAGCTTTCCAGATTTCCTATAAAAAGGGATCGAAGATCAGTCCCTTTAACATTTGCTATCTCTTCTCGTTATCCGTGATACATAACGAGAGATGATGACGTAGCGAAGTAAATGGAGTGGACAGCGGCCGGCATATGCTTTGTGGCGATTCTCGAAAGAGAGAAAGAGAGAGAGAGAAAGAAATAGAGAGAAGTAATGTACAAAACGAAAACGCACCCCCGGAGCAGCAAAGAAGAATATGCGATGTCGAGGCCTGCGAAATGCCACTGTGCATTCAACCGAAAACACGAGATAACATTCAACCAGCTACACTAGGTCGTACCATGATTTATATGACCGCCTGTAATCTATAGATTTGGACATAGTCCACCGACCTTTACCCCGCTCACCCCCTAGCCCACGAAAACTCCACCTAACCGTCAACCTTCAACCTCCAAACTACCTAAACTATAGAAATATTTTTACATTTTAAACAATAAGACAACAATAAAATTACAAATATTTCATTGCGAACATTTTATATCCAACAAAATTCGTATATTAAAATTCTAAATTGTTTAATTTATAATACATATTTTTATCGTATTTATAGATTCGATCTTTCCTCGTTACTTTAGAGCATCTTTTTTTTCTTCATTTATTATTTATTTTAAAGATGCTATAAAATTAGATATTCTATTTAGTCAAAATTTAAATATATCCTTATGAGATAATGTGCTTAACGCAAACGGTATATATTTCTATATAGAAATTGTATTGCTAGCCAATCGATAGAAGTAAAATAAATTGATAGTTTGTCGAGCAACGGGACGTCCCCTAATATTTCCGAATCTAATCGAGGGGGTGTGTTAGCAGCTACTACTCTCTACGCGAACCAAAAAAAAAAAAAGGATAAAAAGAGATAAAGAGTGAATGAATGAAATAGAGAGAGAGAAAGAGGCTGATAAAAGAGAAAAAAACGAAAAAACTTTGACAATACCGTTGTAGAGAAGTGGACGGGGTTTGAAAGGGCAAGACCGTGTTCCGGACTGCTTTATTGCCTGATTTCCGTGGGGTGGACCTTACGTATAAAACGTAACAGAACCTTCATTTCCATCTCTTTCTATCTTCCATACTAAAAATTAGATGGTCAGTCACATTACTATTCTTTCCCATAAAATCTAACAAATACAATAATAATAATAATAATAATAATAATAAAGAAGAAGGAGGAGGAGGATGAGGGGGAGGAGTAATCAGAGAAAAAGAAAACGAAAAAGAAAAAAATGAAAGCACCCTTTTAACAATCCTTTCGCTTATAATCTCGATGACCTTGAAGGTCGTGCGACTAGAAACTCTAATTTCATGGTAACCGGCTGTTAAACAACAATCGTGATCTACAATCTACCTATACGGTAGATACCGGATACGGTCTTCCTTTTTTTACATATTTTTTTTTCAAGCCAATCAAACTCGGACACGTGCCGATGTCACTTTCGAGGATACTGAACACACGCGACCGGAAAGAGCATCCTAATTGTTATCGATTTTCTATCCTGATAAGTTCTTTATTTCTGGTTGTTTTTTTTATTTTTTTTTTTAAGTATTCTTCGCTATTCCTACTTGTGTCAGATAGTGTGATATAGAAAAAAAGGGATAGAAAAATTCTTTAATGATTTTTCGACATGCCAATTCTATTTCTATTTCTTTCTTTCTATCTTTTTTTCTTTCCTTTTTTTCTTTTTTTCTTTCTTCCTTCCTTTCTTTCTTTCTTTTCGATGTACGATAAACGAACAGACAGAAAGTTTGGACGATTGAAAAACTTTCGCGAACAAGTTTTACCGTCTAAAATACCCTCGACACTTTTTCCTACTTTTTCGTTAGAAAATCGAACGTTCTCTATCGAATTGTTACATTCAATTGAATCAAAGGGAGAGGAAAAAAGAAAAAAGAAAAGAAAAGAAAAGAAAAGAAAGAAAAAAAGAGATGAAAAGATATTAGAATTGTAAAAAAGCGAAAAAAGAAAAGAAAAATTCTAAAAGAAATTATTCGATTTGTAATATATAGATCGTAAAAATAAATTTCCCCTTCCCCCTGCCCCTCCCGCTCCCCAAGAAAACATATTTCTTCCATTTCTTATTCTTCCTTTTAAAAATTCGCAAATATTCGATTAAATTTATTGAGATAAATAAATTAGAATTGTAAGAATATTAAATGGAGAAAAAAAAGAATGTCTTTATAGATTTATGATATCAAAATCGAAGATCAGCTGATCGTAAATTAAGTATTGAAAAAAAGAAAAAACGAAAAGGAAGAAAAAATGAATTCTACTTTTTTGTTTTCTTTTCTCTATTTTGTTCTTCTCTTAAGATATGAAAAGTTAAGTGCAAGGAGGTATTGGATACTTGCCAGAAGGAATCGCATTGGTTGAGATTATAAGTCTTTGAGGGTAGAAAAAGCACCGAGAGTAGATTAATCAAAGGAGAAATTCCGGGCGACGAGCAACCACCGACAAAGCATATTCCCCGCTAAGAATGGATCGTTTCCGGTTCCGTTCTCTTTATGGTACATTGCGGCTCAGCGATGTATTAAGATTACTTAATCAATAAAATCCCGAATAAGAACGTAAAAACTAATTTCTTTTTCAATTAT